CAAAGAAGACCCAGTCCCCTGAGGAGAAGTCTGTCACTTCAGACTTAGTAACCACAGAAGTGTCCAACATGTATCACCCCTGCTGTCCACCCTTGCCCTCTCCTTTCCACGTCCCTGCACTGGGACACAACCTGCAGCTTCAAGGGCATGTTCCCCATCAGTCAAAGACAGGTCTCCTCCCTACCACCTCTACGTGCCTCACCGTGGCAAGGCGGTTGTCAGGGAGAACAGAGGAGCAGGAGCCACCAGGCAGTGCAGTAGACCTGGTGCTGGATGTTCCCTGCAGCTGAACTGGGTGTCCCCAAGTCCCTGGGTCTCCCAGGGCTGCGGGGTGCAAGCATGCCCCTGTCCCGGTGGGCTGCACACCGATCACCAACATCCTCCTTGGCAGGAGGGTCTCCAGGCAGAGCGGCACGTGTCCCACCTGCACTACACAGCATGGCCCGACCATGGGATCCCGGAGTCCACAACTTCCATTATGACCTTCAGAGAGTTGGTCCGGGAGCACATCCAGAGCACCAAGGATGCGGGGCCAACCCTCGTGCACTGCAGGTGAGGCTCTGCTCTGGGGGACGGCAGGAGGGGACGATAGGAGATGGCATGGGAGACAAGGGTCCTACTCATGCGCAAACTGGGAGGGAAAGCAGCGCCCAGGAGACACAGCTCATCTGTAGAGAGTCTCCTGCCTGGGTGTCGGGAATTACAGGTTTGCTTGCGGCCTGCCCCCCAGTTCCAGGGGATGGGGCACCTGACGATGGTCAGCACCAACCCAGGGCAGTCTGAATAGCTCCTCAGCCCCATGTCATGCTGGGACCAGTGCCTGTGGTGCTCAGACCGGTGCCCCAGGGTGCAGCATCTGGGAGCCATGTCTAGCAGCAGGAGGGGAGCCCATCGGCTGTGGGGTCAGGTGATGTTTAACCCCTGCTGTCTGTGCTTTCAGTGCTGGGGTGGGTCGCACTGGCACCTTCATTGCTCTGGACCGGCTGCTACAGCAGATGAAGCAGGAGAAGGTGGTGGACACATTTGGTGTTGTTTACGCCTTGCGGATGAACCGTTACCTGATGATTCAGACACTGGTAAGACCTCTGATCTCTCTTACCCAGGCCCCTTGCTCCATGGCGTGAAAGCTAGCGGGGCTGGCAGACAGATGAGCTGGACGGCCATCCCCAGCACCCCCAGGCTGGTCCCCAACCTGACACTGTGTCACGGTGCCACTCAAAGCATCACCTCAGCTGGAGTGGAAATTGCTCTGCTGTGGTGGTCTGCAGCAGCTTCATGCCCTGATAGTCCCACAGCAGCAACATACAGATCCTCAGAGCCCTCCCAGGAGGCTCAGAAACACCTCAGAGCACCTAGGAACAGGATGAGGCCCTTTGCAGGCAATTCTTAACCCACACCATGTTGTTGGCCTGTGATGCTCCACAGCCCATCTAATATTTCCAGTACTCAGAGCTGGGACAAAGCGTAAGTACTACACTTCAGGATAGACACACAAACCCAGTGGAGGGATCCAGGGGCTCTGAGATTGAAGTAACCAGGGCCTTTTGGGCATGAATGTAGGCCTTTTAGGGCATGAACGTAGGACAACCTCTGCGCACTAGGCAGTGCCATACCCACCCTTTCGTGCTGTCTGCATGGTGCAATGCTCTACATTGCTGTCTGCCTTTGCCTTCCAGTCCCAGTATATTTTCCTGCACAGCTGTATCCTGGACAAGATCTTGGAGGAACCTCTCCTGGGTTTATCAGGGACAGAGAGGTAAGGGCTTGCTGTGTTTTGCCTGCCACTCCACGCACCCTGATCCACAGCCCCTTCAGGCAGCAAGCTAGAATCCTGCCCCCAGCTTGAGCCTTGGCTCCAGGACAGTCTCCTGAGGAAGGCACTTTGGTCAGCCCCTGGTTTCCTAGCCCACAAGGATGCCCTAGAGATAGGTTCAAACTGGAGTGGCTCCTGGCAGCTGGGTGGCCTTGGGATGTCCCTTCTAATGGAGGCCAAGAGGAGGGAGCAGGGTCAGGTGGGCATGGCTTTGCCCACCTACCTCGTTTTCTCTGAGCCTGCATCTGGAGGTCACATTTCTATCTTTATGGTCAAATTGTCTCCTCCCTCATGCAGAATAGAATGGCTTTGTCCTTGCTGCATCTGGGGAATGTGCCCTCAGCTGTGCCACGCCTGAGACCTGCCTTTGTCTAGGGGAGAGCAGGTTGGCATGGTCCAGAGCTGGGCTGGGGACGTGCGAGACTCTCAGCATTTGAGGGGTGAAGGTCTACTCACAGCCCTGTCCACCTGCTGGAGACACAGCCTGAATGCTGCCAAGTTTGCTCAACCTCACCCTTACCCCCAGTTTCTCTCCCCAGGTCCTGCCCCGTCCCACTGAAAAGCTTTGCTCAGCACTACACCCAGAAGGCAGCAAAGTCCCATGTGGGTTTCCTGAGGGAGTACGAGGTGAGAGCTGTCCTGGGCAGGGTGCAGGCAGTGCTGGCATGGACATATGCACTGGGGGGACCTGGGGAGTTATTGTACTCTGTCAGGCTGGAGGACACCCAGTAAGTGCCTCCTGAGTGGGTTTCATGCCCCAGTTTCCATGTGCCTGGCTGTCCTGGCAGTGTCCCCTCTCCACGGCATTGCGTCCGCAGGCACATAGCTCCCTCACGCATCCTGCACTGATCCGGATCTGTCCATGACCCAGTCCTTCTCAGACCCCATGTGGGGTAGGGACCTACGTAAATACCATTCTCCTATAGAGATATGCAGCCATCTCCTGACAGCATGGAGCAGACCCGGCAGCCCACCCCTGGAGGTGGTCACATCGCACCCCTGCTAAGGCTTCTGCATGTGCACATATAACCTCCTTTCTGCTGAGGCCAGCTGTCCTTAGGAGTCCCCAGTTCCTCCTGCTCCTCCTGACCCTTCCCCACTCACTGCTTCCTCCACTCTCTTTCACCCTGGCAGACCCTCCTAGAAGTTGTCAAGGAAGAAGCCAGCTCTGCAACACCATCTTCAGGCAACCAGCAGACACGGCCCTCTTCCAGCATCCTCCCATGTAAGTGTTGTGACACCTTGCATCCTCTTCCTTCCTGTACCTGCGTGGAGCCAGGCTGGCCCAGGGCCAGTGCCCCACAGTACAAGAAAATATTTTGACACACTGCATTGAGTCCACGAGAAGGTTAGCAAGGTGTTTCAGGGGTGGAGCACATGACGTATGGGACTGAGATAAGTGGGTTTGTTCGGCCTGGAAGAGAGAAGGCAAAGGGGAGATCTTATCGCTGTCTTCAACTACCTGCTGGGACGGCACAGAGAAAATGTAGTCTTCTCAGAAGTGCACCATGGAAGGACAAGAGGCAATGGGGATGATTTGGAAGGGTAATCCAACTCAGTATAGGGAAAAATGGATTCCCATGAAGGTGGCCAAACACTGGAACAGGGGACCAGAGCATCTGCAGACTCTCCATCCTTGGAGATACGCAGATCTCCAGTGGCTAAGACACTGAGCAACCTGCACTACACATATCTGCTTTGAGCAGGAGGCTGGGATAGAGACCTATCTTTTGGGGACCAACGTCCATGAGCTAGAGAAGAGCACTGCAGAGGGGAGAACCTTTGCAGAGAAATGCTGAATGGGAGGTTGGATTTGTGTGTTGCCCTGGATCCCTCCACCTCCCACATATTTTGCAGATGATCGCTCCAGAGTGAAGTTTTCCCTGCTGGAACAGGGCCCTTTCTCAGGTCTCCTGCAGGTGTGGCATGTCCCGGTGAGTCATACCCCCAGCAGCAATGCCCACCTCCGTGCCTGGGTCCCACAGGCAGCAGGTGACGCTCCCCCTTCCTCATCATGACCCTGCTGCCTGGTTCCTGCACTGCTCCACTGGTCACTGCTGCTGTGATCCTGTGTGGACAAGAGGGGACTGTGGGGACTGAGGATGTGTCTTCCCTCACCCGCCCAGTTTGGACTGTCCTCACTTTCCTCCCTCGGTGCTTTCTCTTCTCTCATTACCTCCTGACCAGCTGAGCTTCCCTTCTTTTCCTGGCCTCTCCTGCACCCACCTGGGCTGACAGGGTACCTGTGCCACTCTCTCCAACAAGAATGGGATGTTCTCATTCCCCTCCCAGGGCTGTAACTCCAGCAGAGAGTATCTGGCTGTCCAGGGGCCCGACAAGTTGACCATGGACGACTTCTGGACCCTGGTGTGGGAACAGGACGTTCACACTATCCTAACACTTCTCCCATGCCAGGAGAAGGGGGAGGTAAGGCGCTGTGCCTGCCTGTGCCATGGCAGAGCAGGGATCTGTTTAATGGAGTTGGAAGCTAGCATAGCTCTGAAACTGGAACTCTTTTCACTGCCTCCTTAAGCCTGGATGCAGACCCAGCCTAGCTAAAACTGAACCTTACCTGTGTCTAAGTGCTTCCACAGCTTGTCACAGGAGACAGATTCTGTCTGCCCACCATGGAGTCCATGGCCCTGAATTCAGCTAGTACTCTTCAAGCTGCATCTCCATGGCACCCAAGGACAGCAGCTCCTGCTTCAAACCAGCCGAGACAGAGAGCATTTGCTGAGCAGATTCCCACTGCCAAGCAGCTCAGCGTTAACAGGGAAGCTGGCTGCAAGCTGCTGTTGTTTCCAAAACTCCCCCAGGGTTTAGCTAGGGAATGAACTGACATGGAATGATGTTGGGGATGCTCTTGGTCCAACCCCATCGTAGACCCCTAATATGGTGACTGCTCTGAAAGGCGGCAACCATCAACATGAAGCCAAACTTGCTGTTGCACACAGGTCCCAAGTGAGGCGTGCTGGCCCCTGGAAGGAGACTCTTTCTGCACAGAGATGCTGACCATCCAGTGTGGCACAGAGAAGCTTGTCTCCGGATGGCGGTGTATCCAGCTCAAAATGAAACACGTATGTGTTGATGGGGCTGGCCTGGCTCCCACTGCCTGGGATGTTCTTCACTGCTAGCAAACAGGTCTGTGGGGGCAAGGGCCAAAAGGTCCATGGAGACTTGTCTGAGCTGCAAGAGCAGAGTGCCAGCATTCCACAAATGCAGGAGGGAATCTGGATTGCAACATCCAGAAGGTCTGCTGAGTGGACATAGGAGATGAACAGGAGAGGCCTTGGAAGCTTGCCCCATCCCTTGACGACAGATCTTTCTGACCTTCTTTGAAAAGGCCCACACAGTTCTCAGTCTCCCTCTCAAGGAGCAGGTCGGGGTGCTGTGGGGAAGGAGAGCAGGTTACCAGAGGCACCATACCCATTGCGTGGGTGATGGGCAATGCCCCAGCAGAGACTGCATGTACAGTTTTACAGAAGCTAGCAGTTATCTCAGGAAAGCATCTGACAGCCTAAGGATCGGACAGTTGGGTCTCCTCTGCACCCAAACTCACCCATCCCGCCTGTCACCGTTTAAGGCTGGGCCGGCACTTAAAACCCATGTCAACTCTTTGTGTCTCACCAGGAGAAGAAAGCAAAGGAGAGACAGGTACAACAGTTCCTATACACGCTCTGGAGCAACAAGAAGCAGCCAGATGTCCAGAGCCTGGTGGAGCTCCTCACCGCTGTCAGACGGTGCACACCCCACCGGAAGAGAGCCGGTCCTCTCCTGCTGCACTGCAGGTACATCACGTTACTGCTCTATCCATGGGCAGCCTCCCAGAGCTGGTACCCACCAGGCTGCACAGCACCTTGGCATGGCCACCAGCAAGCCTGTGCCCTCCACCAAGGACCCCAAGGTTTTGGGACATGATGACAGCAGGTCCGTGGAAGCCAGGGAAGCTCTGAGCTTGGGAGGTCAGATGAAGCAGTGCTCTTCCAAGCACACGGAAGAAGGGAGGGCAAATAGGGCTGGGCCAGGAGCAAGCATGGATGGAGCAGGCATTCTCAGGCAGAGGTGCCCAGGCCTGACTGCTAGGATCCTGGGAGCAGCCCTGACATCCTCATCTGCTTGCAGCCAGGGAGAGCTCACAGTCCCACAGGAGCCAACACAGCTGGCACATCGGCAAAGCTGTCTTGGGTGAGGGCTGCACAGCTTGGCAGGGCAGGGTAGGCTGGATCTCCAGGCTCCTCCAGCAGGTGCTTTATGGTCCCATCCCCCTCGTCAGCAAAGGCCTCCCTGCCACCTAGACCAGTGCTCACAGTCCTCTATCCCCACCATACTCAGTTGCTGCATGTTTTCTCATGGGACTTCTGACTTCTTGGGCTGGTGCCCACTTCCAAAGAGGTTCAGCTCAGCCTGGTATGGCATCAATGATCCTCCCTTGTCCCTTGCAGCAGTGGCGTGAGCCAAATGGGGATGCTGATCTCCTTGGATTGCCTGTTGCACCAGATGAAAGCTGAGAGAATCGTGGATGTCTACGGTGTGACCCTCCAGCTGACGAGAAGCTGCTGTCTTATGACCCCGACTCTGGTAGGTGGGAAGGAGGAAGGGTGATGGGCTGGGTAGAACAGAGCATTCATGCTGAAGTCTCTGGAGCTGGCAGCATGCTGCCCACTCCCTGGGTGCTACCCACCACCTGGGAGCCCATCCAGCCTATGCAGGGATTTATTCCATGCATCCTTTACAAGGGCAGGGAGTGACAGGACAAGGGGCAATGGCTTTAAACTGGAAGAAGGAAGATTTAGATGAGATATTCGGAAGAAATTCTTCCCGGTGAGGGTGGTGAGGCAGTGGCAGAGGTTGCACAGATCAGCTGTGGCTGCGCCATCCCTGGAAA